CGAGGTGCTGCCTGCCTGCGCAGGCGCCGGCACACGCGTCTCCCCCAGACCCCGGGCGCCCCCGCTGTCGAGGGGGAGTTCAGCGAAGTGCCTACACCCGCCGGCCCCCAAAGGTGAGGTAGAACTCCCCCTTCTGCCCAGCCCCCCCCCAGGTTCCTCCGAGGCCAAGTGGACGAAGCTGGGGGGGAGCTGCGGCCGTGGGGGCCGTGCTGCTCTTCCTGAGGTCTGTGTTGCTGCCCTTCCCGCTTCATAGACCCCGGTGCGGCACCCTAGGTCTTGGGGTGAGGGATCTCAGGGCTCCCCGGCCTTGCTGGGCAGGGGCAGTGGAGCCAGGGTTCCATCTGGCTGCCGCCTATTCCTTAGGCCTGGGGGGGCGGGGACGTGAGGGGAGCCAGGGCCCGAGAGCAGGAAGGAATGAGCTCCTTGCTCCTTCCCCAATTTTGGGAAAAGCTGCAGCCAGGAGAGCTCTCCACGCGCCCAGAAAGCGCGTCCTGGCCCCCAGGCACCCGGTGAGGGCCTTCTTAACGGCACACCTTCCAGATTGGGGTCCCCCCTCCTGAGAATGGGGGAGGGCGGAATGCTGAGATTAGCCACACGTTCCTTCCAGGACAGGTGCCTTAGTGCCAGCCTCCCGGGCTCAGGGGCCAGAGACTCCCTGGAAAATCAGTCGTTAGAATGACCCGGAAAACCGCCAGCCCAGGGACAGTCAGAGACCTGTCAAGTGCTGGTGGCCCAGCGTGCAGCAGGTCTGCTCACTCCACAAGCCGCCCGGGGTGACCACCTCGCCCCCCCCCACCTCCGATAAACGGTGGCCCTGCCGCGGCCTGTCCGACCCCACCCGCCAGGCACCCACGTCTGCGTGAACTTCCCCCGTGCACGATGCACACCTTCCAGGGCGCCCCAACCTCTCCAGGGCCCTCTCCACAGCCTCAGAAGCCCCCGCGGGGTCGCTCTGTACCCCCGTCTTTGCAGGTGTGCTTAAGGAGTACTCCCGTCCCCCGGAGTGGGCAGCGGCCCCTATCCTCCAGGGTGGGCGGCGGCGTGGGTGCTGGGGTGAGGGGCCTCCGGAGGGAGGTGCTCCTGTGGCAGGGCAGAGCTGCTTCCCTGCCGGGCTCTGCACCCCTCACTTTGGGGTGCTGTTTAAATTGCCCGTGCCTTCGTTTCTTCATCCAAACAAAATGGGGCGATGTGGGCACGGTCTCCTGGGCTGAGGGGGAGGGTCCGACCCCCACTCGCCCCCCCCCAGCCAGAAGCACGGATGGACAGTGGGAGAATCACGGGGCCGGCCCATGCGCAGCTCTCCACTCCTGGCTTACAGCTCCTAACGACCCCCCACCGGCTCCATCCCAAATCAACTGTGCGCCCCAGGAATCCCCAAGCTGGGGAGGGGCTCGTGAAAGCAGACCCGCCTGGGCCACCTCTGCTCCCCGGGACAAGGCACTTTTACTGGCTAATTGCTTAAGTGAAGCCGAAGGCCTCGAGCGCAGTAACCCGAGCAGGGAACCAGATCCAGCCGGGGCTGTGCCGGGCGGGGGCGTGGGGGGGCGGCCGACCACCCACCGAGAGGGCGGCCGCCCCCCCCCCCCCCCCTGTTCCCCTGAGCCCCCCGCAGGGTGAGGTCCAAGCGTGGACTCTAGGTAGGGCAGCCCAGCCAGACCCGCAGGGGTGCCTGGGGCGGGGAAGAGGGCGTGGGGCGGGAAGGGCAGGAAGATCCTGCATGGGCACGAGGGTGGGGTGGGGAGAAGACACTCAGGGTGCAAATTCAGCTCTTGTGTATGCAGCGTGACAGCAGAGAAGGTAGGGTTCCTGGGAGGTGGGGTGCTGTGCGCCCCTATCGGAAGTTACCTTGGCCAGGACCTCGTACCCTTCCACGGTTGCTGGGGGCAGAGGTGGAATGCGGGTGGCGGGTGTGAAGGCGTGCAAACACTTGTGGCCATGTTCCCGTGTGGGGTGGCTCACCGTGCAACAAAGTTTTGAAGACTCAAACAGTATAACCTGCCCCTGCTGTGTCTGTCACTGTTGGAGTGAGTGTGAGTCTTCCTGCACTGAGCACATGAGATGCATGTGCGTGGCCGATGCCCGGGCCTGGGGTGTGTGCAGGCCGCCGCCCCCGCCCCCCGTTGCGGGGTGTTGCAGGAAACAGGGACACGGTGGCACTATGTACATAGACGGCGTGTGTGTGGTCTCTGGGGGTCAGGGCCTGGCACTTCTGAAGGCAGGTACGGTTGATGCCATAGGTGCTGAGGGCTCACAGCACGGAGGTTCGTGAGGAGACCCTCGAGGTGCAGACGCTCCCGCCCCCCAACTCCCAGGGCAGCATGAGCGGGGGGGGGCGCTGCATTCTAACATGCACAGAACTCACAGCTGGACAGTCACTGGGCCCACCTGACCCCCTCCCCATGAGATCCAGGAGCTCCCCAGCTCACACACGCACCACACCGTGTTCTGTAGCAATGGGAGACAGGGTGGTGGCGGTGCCCGGACGGGAGGGCATGTGAGGACTCTTGTTTTCTGCCCTCCGTGGGCCTGCAGCCAAATTCCCTACCTACCAGGACGAGGGCTGTGTGGTGTGGGTGCGGTAGGGACCCCCAGCTCCTGGGGAGGGGCCCCGAGGCCCCCGGGGGAGGCCCGGGCTGGGCTCTGACATTTGGGGGAACTGATCTACTTGTACCGTCACTGCCCACCAAACGCCAACCGAGCGAGTGGTTGGAGAGGAAGGGGCAGGGAGGCAGCCCCCTCTGCCTCGCCCAGCGAGAGTTTGGGGTGCAGCTGCAACAAGGGTAGTTTCTCTCTCTGGTGGGATCTGTGTCAGCAAGAGGTTCCTAGTTTGGTTTAACAGACAAAGCAGGAAAGGAGGAAGGGAGAAAGGGAAGGTAGGAAGGAAGGAAGGAAGGCAAGAAGGAAGGAAGGAAGGAGGGAGGGAGGGAGGGGGAGATGGAGAAAGAGCGAAGAGAGACAGAAGGAAAGAAGGATGAGCTCACCCCGTTCCTCTTGGCCCTTTTACCTAAACGCACGCATTTTCCATGACGCTCTTCAGTGAAATATTTGACAACATAGCAACCCAGGAATTTCCAGCTCTCTTCCCTGTGAGAGTCGGGGCGTTTGCTGGCGGAGCAGGGCTTGCGGCTCCCCAGCCTGGGACCTCCTGGCCCTCGGCTGCGGTCCCCCTGTGCCCAGGGCCAGGGCTCCGTGTGTGTGTGTGTGTGTGTGTGTGTGTGTGTGTGTGTGTGTAGAGGGCTTCCAGAACTTGCTTCTGCCCTGGTGCTGTACAGAGGAAGGGAGGGGAGGGGGGGGGAGAAGATGGGAGAGAAGAGGGAAATGAACGGGTTTCAAAAATAATTAAATTTAAGGGAGCAGGTAGATTTTTTTCAGAGCAAGAGCAAGCTGTACCCCAAGGCACGTGTGCAGCTGAGAACTGAGGGCAAAGAC